GGTTTTAAAAACCCAAATGGGGAAAACCGTGAGGGACGGGTTTTTAAAGGGAATAAATACGGTTGTTTTTTGAAAATACTATGCCTTGAAATTTTTGTTTTTATGTGTTTTTTTTTAAAAAAATGTTTTTAAAAAAGGGAAATCCAAATTTCATTTTTTGTGCGAACTAAAAACTGACCTTTACAGTAAAAATTAAATTTCCCCCTTTTCTCCCCTAAATCCCAGTTTTGTTTGTTTTTTGTGCGTTTTTAAATTTTTAAATTTTTGATTTTTATTTGTTTGTTATTATTTTCTTATTTTTGTTGATTATTATTGTTTTGCTCTAACTGCTTGCTGCTGCGCTGCTGCAAAAAAAAAACCTTACTATTCAGAATCTTCTTTTTTCAGTTTTATATAGGAAAGGCCCAAGATTAAAATTGCCCCTCCGAGTGACTTATTCTTGGTGCACTCCAGCAAATGGTAAAAATTCTGTGATGTTGAGTAAAGCCTACCGTCCATAGAAGCAATATGATTGGGATGGAAGCAAGTTTAATGGTATGTCCCAACTATTCAACCACAGTATCTAAATATCTAGCAGTAAAGCAAAACTGTTTTTTAGTCGGATTTAAACGTGCAAACAACACAGGAGATGTCATATTGGGCGAGTTCCAGCTTTAAACTTGTGGAAGTGACTTCAGAGCGGCCCCTATCCTGCATTTATTTCAAGTATAAGCCGGAACGCCTGACGTTTGGATCCACCGACGTTGCGTAAGCTAAGCGATAGCTAAGTAACATAAAGTTTGTTAAAGGGTCCGCTAGGCCATAAAAAGCATTTAAATCCTGCTGGATTCGAACACACAGGGGTAAGGGGGCAAGTTCTTGAAGTCAAGGACCTAACCTAATTATTTCTTAATCGCAAATGAATATTGTTGTTGGTTTCTATTCAATTTTTACTGGTATTGAATTTAAAATTTGATTATTAGCTTGTAACAAGACTTTGTTGTTGTGTAAGGAAAACTATAAGTGAGAGAACACCTCAGTCCTTGTGCCTAAACCAATCGGTACTAAACAATGAATGTAACCCCGGGGGGGCCATATTTATTTGGAGATGAAGCTATGACGTCAATACACAAAAATTGTACAAGGAATTTTTACCCGCAATTCACATTTTTGAGAGTTTTCCCCGAGACCATGGTTGACCCAATGCCGAATATGTAACGCCGCCATGTTATCGTAAATTTTTGTTATGGTTATCAAAAAAAATACCATAAAAATTTGAAAAATGTCAAAAAAGCAATAAAATTTAAAAGATGTAAATTATTCTAAGAATTGGTGAAAATGTAAACACATTTGGTCACAAAAAAAATTGGCTGACACAGATCAACCCCAAAGCCCAAGAGCCAATTAATCTCGCGCGAGGTGTTGCTGGTCAGGATAAGAACACTATATAATTTTTAGAGCTTCTTATACATCTGTAAAATTAAAATTCCTGCTCCAACACACAATAACTGTTGTGAGAGGCAGGTACAATAAGCATAAAGCAAACTCTCCTTTTTTTTAAAATGATGAAGACTTTCAGATATTTAAATAATTTATTACAGGTAAATTACAAACCTGCGTCTGTCCGCCATGTTCTGTGGCATATAATCCGACATCAAACTATACGCGTGTAGAGGCGTCTGCCACTGATTCGGCTGGGCAATGCTGTGGTCATGTTCTTTTAGAGCATTTGTTTCTAGGCAAGTACTGGAGTATTTTTTAAATTTGAATACTTATTAAGTATTTTTTATTCCATTCTTATGAATTGGTTTACATGTGTAATATTCCTGTTATACACATGGGTCTCTACATGTAATGCATCTGTACGACCCGGCAGAAAAAAATCTTTATTTCATGCTTTCCCGTGTTTTATAGTAATATATCAGATGATTATATTCAGATAAACCACAAGTGAAATTTATAAAATATAATTTTCACTGTAGCCGGACTATATCCGAATGCGGATGAAAAGAAAATCATAACTAAATGGAATAACAGGCAGAAATAAATGCCTTCATACGTAAATTGTGATTCTTTAGGAAAAGAAAGTCGATGTTACCATACATCATGTTAAAAAATGTATAAAAATTAGAGAAATTTAACAGAACTATATTTCAAAATTGATGATTTGACGTCATGATGTGATGACGTCACAAAGGAGAATGCGCGACGTTACGCGGCAAAATCAGTGAAAAATACTTAAAATCTCTTAAAAAGCATGAAATAAAAAGAACATTTATTTGTTTTACACATAAGATTGAAATATATTTCATTCGTGAACACCAGCTATTATATTTTCACTCGTGGCTACGCCACTCGTGAAAATATTGTATCTGGTGTTCACTCAGTGAAATTATATTTCAATCTTACATGCAAAACAAACAAATATCCTCTATGTATCAGCGAGCATGATCTGGAATGACGTTGCTGGAGTTATAACAGTTACGTTCCAAAATGACGTTGCTAGAGTTATACCAGTTACGTTCCGAAATGACGTTGCTTAAGTTCTACACGTTACGTTCTGGAATGACGTTGCTGAAGTTATAAAAGTTACATTTTGAAATGACGTTGCTGAAGTTGTACCACTTCCGTTCCGGGATGACGTTGCTGCCGTTTAAGCTGTGTCGTTCCAAAATGACACTGCTGCCGTTTTACCAGTGACGTTCCGGAATATCAGGGAAATGTTTTATTAGAAAGTTATGGTTGAATTCGACATGGTATACAATGTTTAGTAGGAGTGTCTTGTTGTGTTACTTGTAGTTGGTTCTCAAGTATAGTTTTCATATATCTAAGGATAGACTGCCGTTTTAGCCCTTTAACCTGGATGAACATTTTTCTCCCAGTATAGAGCCAAGCGAGCCCGGACGTCCGTGCAGTTTGACCTGGCTCTATAATTTCGGATAACTAATTTCATCTTAATATCAATAAAATGGACAAGTTCATTAAAAAAAAAACAGCAGGTAAAGAATAGATATTCAAGGAGGCGGTTATCTATTTATTTATTTATTTATCTATTTATTTATTATATATATATATATATATATATATATATTTTATTGATTGTATATAATTATTGCCCGTTCTTTTTCACTTCTTGTTTATTGTCCGGGGAAATATTGTTATGTCCTGTATTTTGAAACTCTCTCTCGGTATTCTGTGTTTGTTTTCTGTGTCGTTTAGCTCAGATATTTTTTTTTTTCATTTTGTAATTATCTGGTTTTTGCTCTCTGTGTGTGGTTTAATAAATTATTTTCTCTTAATTCAATTCTTCTCTGTGTTTGGCTCTCTTTTTGTGTGTAACTCTTACATTTCTCTCTTGTGTTTCCCTTTTGTCGGTTAGACTCTTATTTTTTCTTTTTAATATGATTTTTTTGGAATTATATATTCGGGACTGGATGGGATTTTTTTTCTCTGCCACCATTTTTTTGTTTTCATTTAGCTGTTTCTCTGTCTTGTTTAATTTTTTTCAAGGTAAGTGTTATTTACCTGTCTCTTCTTCTGTTTTCTATCCACTGTAAGTTCGATCTCGAACAATGACAATTTAGGCAAATAGTATAACTTTCTCTATTTCTACTATTTTTTTTTTTTTTTTTTGCTCGATGTCAATAGAAACCATGACTTTGAATTGATGGTCAACAGTCGTTCGCTTTTTCACTTCTAAAGCTTATAATTATATTCGCCAGAAATCCAAAGAATATGATTAAGGTGTTACGTGTAACATTGAATCTTACTATAACTCACAAACTGAATAATTATACAAAAAAAGTTTCTTCTGGTACTACTAGTTTTGCAATTTGATGACAAGTAATACATATTTTCGTATGAAATTATATCTTGAGTTGTTTTGTATTATTGTTTCAACAGAATGCACTTTGGAATGTCAAAATGGAGGAAGGTGTTACCGCCAGGGGAATGATCAGTTATGTATATGTACACCAGATTATATTGGAACCCACTGCGAAAATAAATGTAACAATTTCTTATTACTTTCTTTATTTACTTGTTCATTTATTTATTCTTTAAGGATTTCTGACATGTTTGGCATTCGTTTGTTATTTTCATTGCTTGGCGCATATTTGTCATATAATAAAAGAATCGTATATATAACAACCGCGTCCATGGCCGCGGCTGAAGATTCTTGATTCACTATTATCATTTCCAATCTATTTTTGCTGGGATGTGGTATGTCCATGAACGGTGTGATAAACCAAAAAATAAAATCGGGCGGGACAATACTGACACAACTGTTGTGCGACAAAACATGGTTAAATTGTTTCATTTAATTCTCTTAAATCGCCAATCAAAGTATATTTCATGAGGATATCTTGCTTTGATCGTCCTTTTCCTGCTTGCAATCTTACCATATTACCTTCTTTCTAAAATAAGAAGCCTTCATACTTTTTTCTATCCGAGAACTTGATCTTTAAATCTTTGTACAAAGACAATTGTGTTTTAAAGTTTCCAAGCCAAATTTCTGTGATGACATGTTTTAAACTTTTTTCTCAGATACACACCCAAGCACGTGTCCCGTGCCTGAATCCTCAAACGGAACATGTAGTGTGAAATGTAACAGTAATGGCGAATGTTCAGGAAACAGTGTCTGTTGCAGGGAGGGTTGTAGCACTATATGCCGGCAACCTAAGACGGTGTATTGCAAGTTCGAAGACCAGCAGTACCGTGTCAATGAGACTTACAGACCTGAGCCTTGCACTGTATGATTACATTTTAGTTTATTTGGAAAACATTTTGTTTACAATTACTTTTTCGTTTCATTGTTCTGGTTTAGTGACTTATCTCGTTGACTTCAAACCACTTGCCCCTCACAGCTTTGGATTCTTTCATGTGAGGCAGCTATCCAGCTAGCTTACGAACTGTTAGTGGTTCTACCTAGGTGCCCGTTCGTGCCTGTAATAGTGCACGAAGGGGCACATACACAAGTAAAGCAGGAAAGTCGCCATACGACCTTTACAATGTTAGGGCGACGTAAACCTACCACACTCCTCTCCCCCACCCCCACACCCCGAAACAATCTTAATTTTGTTCCCTCTTCACAAGTAAAGATGAAATGTTACCACCATGTTATCTTTTAAGCTCAAAGCCCTGTAACACCGCACTTTGGGGTCAAACGCACTTTGGGGTCCGACCCCAAAGTGCGTTAAACTTCGCACCGCACTTTGGGGTTAAACGCACTTTGGGATCAAAATCGAGAAATTGACCCCAAAGTGCGTTATTATGCTACATATCAACGCACTTTGGGTTCAAGAGGTCTAAAGGTGTCATCTGAGTTCTGCTTAAATACTGAGTACTGGCTTATTTTCTATCTGCGACATTGGAATATTTGAGTTGGAGTTCAAGATGGCGGTCAATACTTTATGATGCTTAAGTGATAAAAGTTTCATTAATGTTACCACTTGAAATATCTAAAAATTGTGTTCATATAACAAAATTACAGTGGCATAAAAGTGACATTTGCATTTTTTTGTTTTTAGTTTTGTATACATATTTTATTTTAGTTTTGCATACATATTTTTTCGGTTTTGCATTCATATTTTATTTTTGTTTTTAGTACATACGTTATTTTTGTTTTTCATACATATTTTAGCCAATCAAAACAGCCTTCAAATCTCAGCCCATAGTTGAGTATATATAAAACTAATTTACATATGGCGAAGTGTTTGAAAATGGTGTTTAACAAATGGTGTAATTATCCAAACCTCTACTTTGCAAATGTCGTCATGTAAAAATATGTACGAAAAAACAAAAATAAAATATATATTCATACTTTATTTTTGTCTCATTCGTATACATACATTTTTATACATATTTACACATATTCACATAAAATCTGCATACGACCATTCTATTTAAGAATTTTAAGAGACATTATATCAATGATAAACATATTCAAGACCTATACAGTTAGTCTAAGACTAAAATCAAATAGTAAAATATGTACAAAAAAAACTAAAATAAAATATGTATGCAAACTAAAAAAGAATATGTATGCAAAACTAAAATAAAATATGTATGCAAACTAAAAAAGAATATGTATGCAAAACTAAAAAAAGTATGTATTCAAAACTACAATTAAAAAAAAATATCTACGACAAACAAACAAAAATATTACGAAAAACAAAAAAAAGTATAAAAAAATACAAATGTCACTTTTATGCCACCGTTCAAAATACTCTAGTACAGAAATTATGTATTCCTAGAATTAAAAGATGCTGCGAAAAGTATCCCGTTCTGTCGGTCATTTACTTGATAACTTTTTGTGCCATATTGAGCCCCATTTTAAATATGTTGGGAATGAAAAAAATGCAGTTAATGTCTTTTTCCAAAGAACTATAAATATACTCTATTGCAATGTTCTGGTGAATTTTTTTTTCGATCGGACTATAAATAGTGATTTTTACAAAAACATTATTAAGCTTATCAACAAACTTAAGGGTTTTTGTAAGCTCCAGAACAACCGTTCGCCAAAGGCTTTTTTATGGGAAATCTTACATACTTCTTAAGAAAGAGCAAACATGAATTTTATAATGTTAAAATAATGGTATCTGAGAAATGTAAGATGCTTGTTATCTGAATAAATTAGCGATAACTGTGAAATTATTCGTCATAAAAGAAGTCAAAACACTGTAGTATTTGACTTCCATATAAAATACTAATTCACTATAACTGTACTCATCATTGCCAAAAAGCAACAGATGAAAAAGATGGTTCAGGTAATTAGCCAATGTGTATTTTTTGGAAAATATAGAAGAACATCAAAATAAAAAAGTTTTTAAGAAAAACAAATAAAAGCATAATGTGCCTTTAAAACGTTATTTTTAACCCTCGGGGGGAATAATACCCCACATTCCCCTTTATACCCCCAAAGAAAATTTATATTATTCTGGCGCTCCGCTCTTAATGTGCGACTACTTAAATAGTTGACATTTTTAGTACTGCCTGTACGGACTACTACTTAAAGCCGCATCTACACCTAGTCAAGTTTCTTATATGTCACATTTAGCTAAATAAATGGCCCTTTCAACATATTATCAGGCACATTTTTTACTGAAATGTCTTACTAAGATTTCCCAGAATTTATACCTTTGTCTATGCTAAGACTATCATACTTCTTAAAAATGTGTAAATAAAAAACGGGAAAATAATGCATTTAGCTAAACACAATGAAGTTAATGAAAGGTGTACATTCTTTTAAAATAAATGGAAAATTTGAGAAAAAATATTTTAAGCTTAACAATAGATACAAATTCTTTATTTGGTGATTTATTTGGTGAAAGTTCTTCACTTACTAATCAAGATCATTGAAATCCCTATTGGTTCTACTATAATTCAGGGCACATGTTTGTGTCTATTTAATGCCTTGATTTTTTTGTTTACCATTGGCTTGGACTACAATATATTATTTAAAACATAATGAACTTTAATTTTCTATGACCCCAAAGTGCGGTCGTTTGCCTGATGTTAAAAAATGCATATGTACCTATTTAACGCACTTTGGGGTCGAAATTGGACCCCAAAGTGCGTAACGCACTATGGGGTCCGACCCCAAAGTACGTAACGCACTTTGGGGTCCGACCCCAAAGTGCGTTTGACCCCAAAGTGCGGTGTTACAAAGCCCCACCGAGAGTCAAAACATGAGAAAAAATATTATATCATCCATTGTATCTACATTGTAGACATGTGTATGTCATCAATCCGGGAAGATGGAGTGCGTTTCAAAGTTGTGTGCAATGCCGAAGTGCGCTGGAGGAAGACAACCAGTATCCAGACCTGACCAGTGCTGCTTAGTATGTCCAGGTATATAGTATAACATACATGTATCAATGTATTCATACAATTGATTGTGTTTCCGTTATTTAATAGGCGAATAAAGTCTGTTTCCCCAAGCCCAAATTAAAATAGGTATATTTTCCCCCTTAAAATGGTATATTTCACCTAAAAATGCTATATTTTCCCCTGAAATGCACTATGCATATTTTTTACCAGAACCATAACTTGACAGCAGGTGATTTGTACTAACTAGTTAAATCTAATTGACTGAAAAACGGGAAAAAACACTTCATTCATCATTTAAAGTTGAAAGATGCTTATTGAAAATAAACCAGAACAACATATGTCAGATTTGTTATTAGTTATTACTGTCATTAAAGCAATCAGTTCAATTAAAACAAAGGCGTTTCTAAGTTTCCGGCTATTTGTCTTCGCAAGAAACCAAACTATTTCAGACTTGGATTGTAAGTGCCGTTTGCAATGTGTAAATTACATACGTTATTCTCTTCACAAATTTTTTCTTTTAAATACATTTAAAAATGTTCATGAAAATTAGCACAAATCTGCTGCTTTAAAGTACAAAACGAACACACGTATATGCGATGTACTTTCATATCATATTTCGGAGAATATTTCATGTTGTTTACGCTCGCTTTCGGTGATTCGAATTCGGGCATGCACTAACTTCTTTCATACATATGGAAGCTAACTAATGAGCTTGTAGAATGTCAGTTCTGTTCAGATGCCCTGTTATGCCTTGCGAAAGATCACAGAGGGGCATCGTGATCCGTCCAGATGCCCTGCGATAGACAACAGAGATGCATCATTGTTTGTCCAGATGCCCTGCGATAGACCACAGAGATGCATCATTGTTTGTCCAGATGCCCTGCGATAGACCACAAAGATGCATCATTGTTCGTTCAGATGCCCTGCGATAGACCACAGAGGGGCATCGTAATCCGTCCAGATGCCATGCAATAGACCAAAGCGGGGCATTGTAACCCTTCTCTATCTGAAAGTTGCCATATGACATTTTACCTTTAACCTGCTGCATTTGTGTAATGGAGTTGCCCTGCTTTTTCAATTTTTGAACGGTCCAGTCAAAGTTTAAATGAAAAAGTACAAAAAAGAAATATACTGCCAACAGTATAGACCATGGCCAGACTGCACAGATATGCAGGCTGGTCTGGCTCTTCCCGGGTGGAAAATGCATCTGGATTTATCTCTCAACATGCAGTGATGGAGCAATACCTCTAGACGCTTGCATTGCAGAAATCATGATCTCAGAGCAGAAGAATATCGTGTGTGTGGAAGGGCGGGGGGGGGGTCGCCGATTTTTTTTTGATTTTTTTTCATATTCATGACCGTGTTAAAATTGATGTGAAAAGATGAATTCGACATCTTACAGTGCATCTCGACGGATGAAAAGACGAAATTTTAGCATTTAATCATTCAAGCGCCTTGTCCGGTAGATACCGGAATACGGCAATAGTGTGTTGCTCCAACTCGTTCTATGAAGTTTGGTTTTGCCGACTGTGTCGATGTGACATACACTGTTATTAATATAGAAGCTGATTTGATCATCACGTATTTTATTGCAGAGGTACCAAAGCCACGAATTAATTGTCCATCACACGTGGTCCATGTAAATACCTCCTACTACACTAACATGACATTGTTAGATGATACCAAAACATCTGTAGCTGCATTCAATCATTTTGGTGTAAATCTTCAGGTAAATATATGAGATATGATTTTATTCTTCAATCTACTGTAATTGAAAAAGGTTAGCCTTTACCATCAAGGCCAGCTTGAACATCAATGCAGGTTGCCCAGGCTTTTTTACAGTTGGTAGGTTATTTTTTTATTTTGTTGTTCTTGAAATCGCTTGACCTTTGATCGGAATGTTCCAAATTCAAAGGCGGGACAGTTCATTTCATAATTTCTATAGCTTAAGGGGTTAAAACGATGCACTTATCTACCGTATGCTATCTGTTTGGCTTACGAAGGTTTGTTTGATCTATATCATGCTTATTGTCAGTTAATTAACTTTGACATAACAGTTGTTTTGATATACATTTACATTGATTTACCTTATTTACCTTCACCCTGTGCAGAATTTTCTTAAAGGGACTTGTCCAGCTTTCATTTGTTTTAAACTTTTTTTATTTTTGAGTAAGTATTCACAGTTAAAATAATAATTCTGGAAAAAACAGACTGAGCCAATGATCTGAAATTTTGCACAAAAGTTATATCATTTGGTACATAAATATCGAAAAAAATATTTGAAATGCCGTCATATTAAAAACACCTCAGTAAGGATTAAAAGATAAACTAGTCAGGATAAACACTGTTTCATGTTTTGCATTGCAGGTAAATTACAGACCAGCTTTTGTTCACCATTGTAAATGTGACAGGCCGCTCGACCACGTGACAACTGTGGAGGCATACGCGTCCGATCACTATGGCAACGTTGCTACATGCTCGTTCCAAGTTGCCGTTAGAGGTAAATATATTTGTGGATTTCACACTACACGAAACTAAAATGAATGAATTTAAAATCTAAGTAAAAATAGATATTGAACTAAATATGTATGGGAATGAAATGAGTCAATGCTCACGATCTGCCTCTCACGAAAGGGATTATGGGTTTGAAGCCTCAAAAGGTCACGGCCATGTTTCCTCAAATGAGACAAGTTCTAGTAAGTTCCAGGAAGCGGACTCTTTCTTGAGCAGTTCTTGATAGGTCTAAGCTTTCATCAGAAAAATCAGCGAAAATTAAAATATTTGAACTTAGTAAATATTGAAAGAAACTACATGTTCTGACATTTAAAAGTTTCTACTCGGAATTTAAACATTTGTTATATTATTAAATAAATAATAAATTAATATTGTCAGTTTCTTCTCTTTTTCAATAATAAAAAAACAAATATGAATCAAGTGGCTAGAAAGGTGATAAGCATTTGTCTGAACACAGTCTGCATTTTTCATAAGAATTTTAAAGAATTAAAAAAAAATACACCAAAAAATTCAGTTTTATTTCTGATGGACTAATACAACGTGTTTTGTACATTTGTTTCACAAAAGAAAATCAACTGTTAAGAATAATATACTTAAATTTAATGACCATTTGTTAAAGCTTTTAGAGGGTTTAAGGTATGCAAATAATTACTCAAAAAACATAATTATGTTTGGCGATAGCGGTGTGGACTTAAGTTTCAAACTCTTGAGCGTTTTCTTGGTAGATTTCCTTACGAGGGATATGCAGATAAAGTTTCATGTTTTATTGTGTACTATACATGTACATTACCCCGTGTATTAACAGCACTTCAAGAACAATACAAACATTTTTTTCCAGATATTTATGCTCCCGTGATCTTCTCTTGTCCGGAAGATGTTTATGTTTTCGAAGACGAGGCTGTTAAATGGCTCGAACCAAATGCAGCTGATAATGTTGGAGTAGCTAGCAAGACTTATACTAGTTTGAGGAACGGGACACGATTTCCGGTCGGAGATCACAGGATAACGTGTAACATACATGACTTTGATGGTAACATGGCATCTTGTAACTTCCGTGTCTCTGTTACCAGAAAAGGTAAGCCATGAACAATAAAAGTTGGGAATTTTTTACCCATCTAGCTATGTTTTACCAACCAAGACCAAACTAGTTATGTTAAAACACTATCACTAACTTTAAAATCTTTCAAAGTCACTCTGACTTTGAAATGTTTCGTTTATTTTGGGTTGTTGTTGTTATTGTTGTTTTGTTTCTTTTTGCGGGTGAGGGATGGTTTTTTTTCCATACCTTTCATCTATCTATGTAAATCAAACATTCTAACAGTCTTACATTTCTTACAGTGTTTTACTTTGTACAATCCATTTTACATTGCTTATATCATGTTTATTTCACTTAAATATGTTTGGTTTATGATATTTAATGATACAAAATTGATATTTTTCAGACACACCTTTTGATGATATGCCTATAGGTTTAAGAGAGCGTTCAACTGGAGAGCCAGAATTGAAGCTAAGCGCTATTTGTAAGTTGTGCGTTGTACCTTTACACAAGATACATCCCAAAAATCAAATTAGAAGAATTTAATTTTAGTTATTTTTTATAATTATGAATACATAGTTGATTGTGTTTTACAGTTTTTGCTCTAAAAAGAATCTTGAAATACAATTTACACAGCATAGTAAAACAAGTCGAAAATTGGGTTATTTATTGCTTTCGAAATGATTTTATCTTTTTACATATTTTTGCAGTGCCTCCAATTTTTGGTGCAATTGTTCTGGTAGTCTTGGCTTTGCTGCTGCTGTTCCTATGCAGACGAAAATGTCTGCCAGTCATCTCCAAGAAGAAACCGACAAAACACCCGAAGACGGAGAATATTTACGCACAACCGGATGATATCTGGTCAACAAAGTCATCTCTTAAATCGAAGCGTTCGTCAGTGTCGACATACTCCTCCTCCGTGTCATCCAGAAGCTCTGCTGGGCGCGCTTTAGCGTTTCATAGCAACGCGCATGCGGTTCCTGGAGATATTGGTGTCAGACCACCACCATACTCACCATATGTAGGTTACAGTCCACCGCCATATAGTGTTTCCGGTAGCGTGAAGGACGTCATGTACATGTCTATGCCCGTTCCGGCATACCATAATCCAGATTATGAATCCCTGAGCGTCCATATGCCGAGTAATTCCGGACGTTCCGTGAGGTCCGGTTCAAGGTCGAGTAAAGCGGGGTCAACGAAATCGTCACGAAGTTCAAAATCAGGATCAGTAAAGTCGACAAAGTCAAGCTCAAGGGCTTAAGCACTTTGCCTTTTCGACATTGATTCCAAAATGAACCCTTGGTACTAGTTTATCGCGTTTGACTTTAATAAAAGAATTAAAAAGAAAAATATCGGTAAGAAATAGATTCAACTGAGGTAGACCTGTACAAAATTGAGAAATTAATATGACATTTTATTAATCAGATATATTGTATTATAGGCCTTATTTACTCAAGATATAAGGTGCTGTCTTTTTTGTTGTTTTATGTATATCTGATTTCAACAGCTTATAAGCTTACACATGCATATGAAAGCTTTTTTATGTAGAGTTTACTTTTGCCGGTACTATGTTTTTTATCTTATAATTGTGCATAGAATTCTTTATTTAAACTTACATGCTTGTGATATCTGACCAGACAATAAATTGTCGGTTGTACAATTAAGCATATGGAAAAAATGATCTCAAATCTTCTGAAGAATTTACGGGACAGCTTTCCTACCTGAAAGACGGTCAGATACATGACACAAAGTTAGACTTTTGTTAGTAGCTCTGTATTGTTAAACTATGCGTTTGGGGGCGACCGTGGCCGAATGGTTAAGGTCGTTGACCTCAAAATACTTTGCCCTCACCGCTATGGGTTCGAATCCTGATAGAAATCCTATGATTATGAACGTCAGTGGATCTACTCAGGTGCCCGTTTGTGCCTGAAGTAATGCAAGGAAGGTGCACCAAAGGTTCTTCCTGCACCTGTAAAGCTCGAAAGTCGCCATATGACCAATACTGTGTTGGTGCAACATAAATACCTACCAACCAAACGTTTAGACTAAAATGTTTGCTCTAATGAGGTAAGGAATTGTCAAAAACACCTAGCTAACTGCTGGTCAGTAATCATTTGTATGTACACGAAATGTAGTTTATATACAATGTACAAAACCTATCGCGTTTTATCTGCTAAATTTTGTGTCATGGTGTATTTGCAAATCCTTATCTGTATTATATCTTCGTTTTGTACATATTGATTCGATGCATTCCACTTTGAACTTTTTGAAATTGATGTTTTTTTGTCAATATTGTAATAAAGTTTTATACCTGTAATTTTTTTGGTGGCAAACATTTTTGAAGATGTATTGAACTGTGTTATTAAAGCCTTCTGCAACAATAATGTAAACAAAAAAGTTACATTTGCTTAATGATCTGTTAGGCTTATATCTTTATATAATATTCATAAGTGTGCTATTTTAACGTATATCTTGTTATCTTGTTGCTGTTCATATATTTTCTGTATAAACTTGTACATGTTGTTATTTGTGTTGCTGCAATCAAAATGTATCTAGAAATAAAACACAAATCTGTGAGTTTTTTTTTTAAGTTCTTTTATCTTAAGATCTTTTTTATTATTTTATAGCTCTGTTTTTGTATTTTGATATTGAAATCCATTTAACTTGAAATCCAAAGCAATACGCTAATTCGGCTGGTAAAGGCTGAAAGAAATGTGGTGCCAAAGTAATGATGATTTAATATGGAGTGACATATCGTTCTGAGTATTTTAAACTGTGTTTCCAATCTACGTTGCAAAAGCATTATTTTTTTAAAAATTGATTTACGCATTAAGTACAGAGAAAATCCACAAAAAGATATTAGAAAAGTCATCATTCTTTTTTTGGCAATTTTAAAGCACAACAGTCTAAAATACACATCAAAAATAATACGCAGGATGGACGTGTTTGCCTAGTTTTAAGAATGTCTTACATGAAATGCATTTTTAATTAACTAGTCAATCGCAACTACTCGGCCCTTTCCGTCAGTCTTCGGATAAGGACCTCGAACACAATAGTATGAATACACAGAACGGATGCGGTATTTCGGTCTAACCTACGCTAAGAAACTAAACATGTAAACAAATAGTAATTTAATGCTTGGAGTTGTTGACAAGTTTATTTCCAATATATGTAGTAAAAGTCCACCTAAAATAAGTGAATTCATAGGTACAATAGCAAACAATACATTATTTATATATTTATTATTATGGTTGTAGAAACCGAAAGTACAAAAAACCAACCTGTTGACATTTAGTCGGATTTGTTTAAAATTGAACATCAGTGGGCATACTTAAATTGCAAATTGTTGTCAGACATATTTTCAAGCATAAGAGTACCGGGACACACATTAGATGTCAAATATATACATTCGTTTTACATTATCTCTGTTTCTGTTTACATCTGAAACCACGTGGTAGAACTACTTTCAATCCGTATTGTTTCCGAGGTTATTATAGATAATAGCCGAGGCAGTTCCGAATGTTAACTAGTAAACAACATGTGATCATATTCATGCTTTGCTTAGCTCATGCAAAAGGATATATTAAGTTTACCAGAAACATTGTACAGTCACACTTAGTATCGAGATAGAAATAAGGGTGATTAAATCATAAAGTAGTTATATTGCATAGGATATGAAACCTGTAGCATGGACTTTGAATAATGATACATTTCTGTAACAATTGATTTTATTTTTCCTACAGTTTATATTAGGTGCAGGCACAACGTTGGCAATGATTAAAAGGGAGAAGACTCTCAACACCTAAGTTTAAAGAAATGTACTAGATTTGTCACTCTTGCTTTAATAATCACATGAAAAAATATTGACAAAATGCACATCTGTTGCTAATGGTTATAATGTCTAACTATAAAAGTAAAGCCATGGGTGACAATTATTCGTACAAACATCCGCATGTTTGTAAATACAAAGAACAACAGATCACTTGTCTGTATACACTTGTCCGTCATTGAACTTTGTGATAATACTTGTTATATAGCTACACAAAGAAGCAAATTCTTTGCTTTATGTCAATCTTTACCCAACTGATATAATATTGTAAAAAGTCGTTTAGTATTTAAGGAGATTTAAGTATGGAAATAGTTCCAAATGAAAAGCACCCAGCAACAAAGTTATGACAGACTGTATATTGGTGGCATAGAGTCGTGTCAGACTGTAAAATGGTGACACAGAGTCGTGTCAGATTGTATAATGGTAGCATAGTGTCGTGTCAGACTGTAAAATGGTGACACAGAGTCGTGTCAGATTGTATAATGGTGGCATAGTGTCGTGTCAGACTGTAAAATGGTGACACAGAATCGTGTCAGATTGTATAATGGTGGCATAGAGTCGTGTCAGACTGTAAAATGGTGACACAGTCGTGTCAGATTGTATAATGGTGGCATAGTGTCGTGTCAGACTGTAAAATGGTGACACAGTCGTGTCAGACTGTATAATGGTGGCATAGTGTCGTGTCAGACTGTAAAATGGTGACACAGTCGTGTCAGATTGTATAATGGTGGCATAGTGTCGTGTCAGACTGTAAAATGGTGACACAGTCGTGTCAGATTGTATAATGGTGGCATAGTGTCGTGTCAGACTGTAAATTGGTGGCATAGAGTCGTGTCAGACTGTGTAATGGTTGCATAAAGTCATGTCAGACTGCATAATGGTGGCATAGAATCGTGCCAGACTGTATAATGGTGGCATAGAGTCGTGTCAGATTGTATAACGTCGGCATAGTGTCGTGTCAGACTGTAAATTGGTGGCATAGAGTCGTGTTAGACTGTATAATGGTGGCGTTAAGTCATGTCACATTGTATAATGGTGGCATAGAGCCAGGTCAGACTGTATATTGGTGACAGAGTGCCAGGTCAGACTGTATATTGGTGGCAGAGAGTCGAGTCAGGCTGTATATTGGTGGCATTGAGCCCGGTCAGACTGTATAATGGTGGCATAGAGTGTCGTGTCAGATTGTATAGAGGTTTCATAGAGTCGGATCAGACTGTATATTGGTGGATTTAAGCCATTTCAGACTGTATATTGGTGGCCTAGAGTCGGGTCAGACTGTATATTGTTGGCCTTGAGTCGAATCAGACTGTATATTTGTGGCATAGCCATTGGTGGTAAAAGTTGGGTCAGACTGAATGCTAGTGACAAAGAGCCAGGTTAGACTGTATACTGGTGGCATAGAGTCAGGTCAGACTGTATATTAGTGACATATAGCCTGGTACGACTGTATATTAGTGGCATATAGCCAGGTACGACTGTATATTTGTGGCATAGAGTCTGGTCAGACTGAATATTAGTGGTATAGGGTCAGGTAGGTCAGACTGTATATTTGTGGTATAGAGCCAGGTCAGACTGTATATACATATTAGTGACAATGAGTCTGGTCAGACTATATATATATTATATATATGTGGTATAGAACCAGGTCAGACTGTATATTATGGTATAGAGCCCGGTCAGACTGGATGTTAGTGGCATAGAGCCTGGTGAGACTGTATATTAGTGGAAAAGAGTCAGATCAGATTGTATGCTAGTGACATAGGGTCATGTCACACTGTATATTAGTAGCATAGAGTCAGGTAAGACCATATTGTGGTTAGAGCAAGGTCAGACTTATATTTGTGGCATATGTTCATGTCAGACTATATAGCGGTGGCATAGAGTCGGTTCAGACTGTATATTGGTGGTATAGAGTCGGATCAGACTGTATATTGGTGGCATAGAGTCGGTTCAGACTGTATATTTGTGGCATAGAGTCGGATCAGACTGTATATTGGTGGCATAGATTCGGGTCAGACTCTATATTGGTGGCATAGAGTCGGATCAGACTGTATATTGATGGCATTGATTCGGGTCAGACTCTATATTGGTGGCATAGAGTCGGATCAGACTGTATATTGGTGGCATAGAGTCGGTTCAGACTGTATATTGGTGGCATAGAGTCGGATCAGACTGTATAGCGGTGGCATAGAGTCGGATCAGACTGTATATTGGTGGCATATGTTCATGTCAGACTGTATAGCGGTGGCACAGAGTCGGATCAGATTGTATATTGGTGACATAGAATTGGTTCAGACTGTATATTGGTGGCATAGAGTCGGATCAGACTGTATATTGGTGGCATAGAGTCGGATCAGACTGTATATTGGTGGCATAGAGTCGGATCAGATTGTATATTGGTGGCATAGAGTCGAATCAGACTGTATATTGGTGGCATAGAGTCGGTTCAGACTGTATATTGGTGGCATAGAGTCGAATCAGACTGTATATTGGTGGCATAGAGTCGGATCAGACTGTATATTGGTGGCATATGTTCATGTCAGACTGTATAGCGGTGGCACAGAGTCGGATCAGATTGTATATTGGTGACATAGAATTGGTTCAGACTGTATATTGGTGGCATAGAGTCGGTTCAGACTGTATATTGGTGGCATAGAGTCGGATCAGATTGTATATTGGTGGCATAGAGTCGAATCAGACTGTATATTGGTGGCATAGAGTCGGTTCAGACTGTATATTGGTGGCATATGTTCATGTCAGACTCTATATTGGTGGCATAGAGTCGGATCAGACTGTATATTGATGGCATAGAGTCGACTCAGACTGTATATTGGTGGCACAGAGTCGGATCAGACTGTATATTGGTGGCACAGAGTCGAGTCAGACTGTATATTGGTGACATAGAGTCATGTCCGATTGTATATTGGTGGCACAGAGTCGGATCAGACTGTATATTGGTGGCATATGTTCATGTCAGACTGTATAGCGGTGGCACAGAGTCGGATCAGATTGTATATTGGTGACATAGAATTGGTTCAGACTGTATATTGGTGGCATAGAGTCGGATCAGACTGTATATTGGTGGCATAGAGTCGGATCAGACTGTATATTGGTGGCATAGAGTCGGATCAGACTGTATATTGGTGGCATAGAGTCGGTTCAGACTGTATATTTGTGGCATAGAGTCGGATCAGACTGTATATTGGTGGCATAGAGTCGGGTCAGACTGTATATTGGTGGCATAGAGTCGGATCAGACTGTATATTGGTGGCATATGTTCATGTCAGACTGTATATTGGTGGCATAGAGTCGGATCAGATTGTATATTGTGGCATAGAGTCGGATCAGACTGTATATTGGTGGCATAGAGTCGAATCAGACTGTATATTGGTGGTATAGAGTCGGTTCAGACTGTATATTGGTGGCATAGAGTCGGATCAGACTGTATATTGATAACATAGAGTCGGGTCAAACTTTATATTGGTGACATAGAGTCGAGTCAGACAGTATATTGGTAACACAGAGTCGAGTCATACTGTATATTGGTGGCATAGAGTCGAGTCCGACTGTATATTGGTGGCATAGAGTCGGATCAGACTGTATATTGGTGGCATATGTTCATGTCAGACTGTATAGCGGTGGCACAGAGTCGGATCAGATTGTATATTGGTGACATAGAATTGGTTCAGACTGTATATTGGTGGCATATAGAGTCGGTTCAGACTGTATATTGGTGGCATAGAGTCGG